AATTCTTAATAGGGGTTAAATATAGGAGACTATGGGTAACAACATTCACTTATCATCAGTAGAACTGTGCTTGATTTGACATCCTTAGAAAATATTTTTTCGTTTTGAAAATATAAAAGTAAATAAAGAAAAATAAATATAGTACTCTATCCAGATCTTCTATCTAGATCTTTTTATGAATATTCCGTAGTATGGATCTATGACTGGAATGGGATAATGTGAGCAACCTCGTATTGATATGGATCCATCGTAACTTTGTACCTATATTCGGACGCTTTGCAAGAAGTAACACGCTTTTGTTAATTTTCTTCGTTGATTGCCATTTTGAGCTGAACCACCCTATACATATATCTACATTTCATTAAAATTGAGGTTTGAGTCATTTAAATTTGTTTTTTTTTTATGTGGCAGTAAAGTGGTATTTACTGATTTACTATTTATTTAGTGAAATATTTGTGAGGAAACATGCGTGACTGTAAATTTTAATTAAGTCTTTTAGTTAAAACAGCAATTTAAAGGACCCGACTGCGTGAAAATGCTAATGAATAAATATGAAAAAACAATTTCTGTGGCCTATTTAAATAAAACTAGTTAGGACACCCAAAGTCACGTAGAGAGGACTGAGGTGTTTGACTTCCCAATGTTATACATGCAATTTACAGCCTATGTCACTCCCATACTTGAGACAACTTTAAAGACACCACATATGTTAAAATCCATCAAGCCGTTTAGGCTGCAGAGTGTGCTAAAGAAATACGAGTAGACATACATTTTCATATGTAAAAATTACGTGTCACGTTGTTTGTCCGCGATAAACTCCTATACTAATGAACTGTTTCAATATAATTTTGTACACTGTGTGCAGTTTGGTCAAACTTGAGAGATAGGATAGTTTTTATCCTAATATGTAGTGGCCCTCGATGTATTTTATAACGAATTTAATGATTTTTTATATGACAAAGGGTCGTCGGATAGGGCAGAACAACGTTGGTATGCTCACATACACCTTACCTTCTAAAAACTACCCTCCATCTGCGACAATCAGGCAAAAAAATTCCAGGACTTGTGAAGGCCGCTAACATGTGTATACATATATATGCCTCCAATCCTATATGTATGTATATAGGATTGGAGGCAGAGTCAAAGAGTATAATATATAGGATGGGCAGAGTAGCGGTATCTCCTGTGCTCTAAAATTCGTCTCAGAAATGAAGAAAAGCCTGTGCCTTTATACTGGCCGAACCTTAATTATTAGCTTATTACGTTTGATTATTTACATGTCTGACCAGTTTTTCGTTATACGGCCTCAGAATTTGCTGCATGAAGTCCTTCATACCCGTATGAGGGTTCATAAGAGGTGGAGTTGTGGGAGGAGTAAAGCTGGTTCCCCAAGACAGACCGCAATTTATAGGAAAGGGATTCACCCTCAATTGGGTTGGAGTTCAGAGGTTCATTATCTACATTAACCTTTATATAAGGAATGTTATTACCGTAACAGGTTTTCCCTAAAACCTTGCGTGACATAGAATATGCGTTGGCATATCGACTACAATTACTGATGCCTGCGTTTAACCTTTTAAGCCACATATTAGGTTTATTTTTGATATTTATGACTTAAGCTATTGACAGACTTAATAATATACAAAACATTATTATCTTCTTAACGTCTAAAGTTTGATTTGAGTTTGAGTATCCTGCACTTGGTAGGACGTTTGTTATAAATTTCATATAACGCTTGTGACCCTATTTCAATCTCCAAAGGCACCGCTGAATTTGTTTACCGCAGCGTAAATTTTTGTATTACCACCTTTTCCGCGAAAAGTTAAACATAAGTACTTGTACTATTATTTATTCTGTAGCATAAGGAAAGATATTTTTGAGATATGGATGCACTGGATAACAGTAGGATGAGAAGTGGGAATAACATGTGCCCAGCTGTGGGTCATATGTAGGTTATTTACACTACATTAAGATTATACAAGTATATATTACCTCATGATTTCATTCGTCTCTTACAAGCTTAATGAAAAGAATTAAAGGAATGGTCAAGTAATCGTGCTCTCATAGAGTACTAGCGTAAAATAGTAGCTTAATGCGGCTGTGTTTCGTATGATGAGTGTAGCGAACCGGAGAACCGTTTTACTGGAAACGAGGCATTCCATCTTAGTCCTCACGAGTGACATCTGCATTTTGATTTGTAATCGAGAATAGATTTAGATGTCTATGGGCTGCAGCAACCACTTACCATCAGGTGGACTGTGTGCTCGTTTGTCACCCTATCCTATAAAAAATTGATCTAAAACTTTTACTGGGGTTGTATTCCAGTAACAAGTAAACTTCAAAGTACTCGAGCAACCCAGGTTTGTTCCCTGTTGGCAGCTGGCACGAATGAAATTATTAATTGTAATTTCAAATAATGATATACCACGTGTTTAGTGGAGAATGAAAATGTCGTGAAGAGACCTGCACGGCTGAGAAATAAAAAAATAATACTTCGAAGACATGTGAATTCCAGCAATACACAATGGGACTGGCTGACTGATATTGCCTTGCCCTAAAACCTTGTCGGAAATCAGACGAGGCCTGTGGCCCATACCTTTGCCACGCAAAGTCTTTTTCTCGCACTTTACAAATCGTTACTAAGTTTTATGTTGTTAATTCGATTGCAATTTAAAGAATAATTCCGCCTAGGATTGCCTATTTTAAAAGGCATTAAAATGTTTTCGAAAAAATGGAGTAAATACATCCAACTGGTTCCAACTCGAAAATTCAATTTACAAATTATGATTCTACAAATCTAAAACAATCGTTGTCACCCACCGGTGTTACTCGGTATTATTATCCAGTAGTTTTTAATTATAGAAAGTTTTAATCTCATTTCTGATAGCTTTTAGTGGGCGTCTGTTTGTAAATAGTAAGCGATTTACATTGTCTTATAGGCTGAAGAAATGTCGGTTAAGGCTTAATGGCGGTCAATACAGTACGTATTGTACGCAAATGTATATTAAATTGCCTTATTGCGTATTTATTTGCCATTCACATGAACATTAACTTTATGATAATATGATCGTTGGAATTTTCTAAATTACGATTGTATGTACGGAATAATTTTTTGTATAACCTAGTAATTATTTCGTGTCTGGATGTGTCCTTGCACAATTTATGGATGTAAAACGCCTTCACCATACAGGAGATAAGCCGATATATAAAAAGATAAAAGAAAACAGTGATAAAGGCTAAAGGCTCTAAAGGTATTGTGGCTGCAGCGTGAATGCATGTATGATCCTCCAAAAAGAAACAAAATGCAGATGCCTTGCCATCATTGAGCAGAAAGGGTATTAGGTTCTTTACATCCGGCTCCCAGGTCGAGCCTACTATAGTAGGTGCGACCATAATATAGCTGTAGTGTGGTTTCACCACGTTAAAAAGTGTTGTCAAATTATCACAAATACGTTACATCGGATGCGAGTAGATGTGGAACAGTGAGTGTCTTTGTATTTTAACGTTAAGCATTAATACACATTAGACACATTACAATATAGGGAATATTCTGCTCAGTTCAGTGAGTTCAGGTGTCACGACGAAAATACGCTGTTTTGAGTGAAAACATTTACTTTCCTATAGGTAAAAAAGTAAGTATATAGAATATATTATAGGTAAAAATAAAGTTACTGTCCATATACGTCCCACTGCTAGGCACGGACCTCATTTCATGTCTGAGACGGTTTTAGGGCAAGAAAATGTCCGCAGCTTTGCGCCATTGGTGGATTTCACGTGTCTTGAATTTTTTTTATTTCTCACGCAGGTATTCATATAATTTCACCTGTAATCTAAATTGAAACCTTGTAATTTCGTGTTTTTTGTAATACTCCTCTTAATATCCCTGCAATAAATAAGACAAATTGTTAGGTAAAATATAAAAAAAAAATACATTAATTTTTACTGTACATAGTACCAGGCATTCATATACGCCTGATGTTGCCGTCCAATGCCGAGCATGTGGTAAATCAGCGCTTAAAAATATAATTAATTTTTTTTTGATGTCGACGGGGATGGAATACGGATTGCTCGAGTACTGTGAATTTCACAGCGAACGCTTTTAGCCCCTTAGCTACCACACCACAGCTCACAGCAGTAGTAGACGCAGTGGTGTTAATCAAACATACAATAAAAAATTATTTACTGCGTTGACTTAAGAAATCGGGAGTGATAAGGCTGGGTCTGTGACCGATGTTACGAAAGCATTTTATTAGCTGTGTCGAAACGCTCCAGATTCACCTATCACAAAGTAAACAACAAAATCTAACTTACGGTCTTGAAAGCATAATTTTTAAAGCAGCACATTTAGTTAGCACTCTGAGAACATTTTCTGTTTTAAGTGAAAATTTGTAGCTTATTCCTTCTTTTCCTTGTTTATACTTTGGATTCTTTTGAGGTAGTTTTTGAAAAAAAAAAAGAGAATTTGCTAAAGCGTTCTTAAATAAACGAAAAAAATCAGCCAAAAAAAGCCAATAAAGTTCTTCCTTTCAAAGATTACTGTGGTTTAAGAAGTGTTGTGTTTGTGTGCGATAAACTTATGCAGTGCATCATTGATTGTGCAGTGTTAATTTTTTTTAAATTAGTTTAAAATTTTCAAAGAAAGGTTAAAAAAGTCAAAATTTATTTAATTTGTTGACTTTTGACGTTTCGTGAAACCAGTAAAAAATGTAATGCCATCATTTTTATTTATATATTTATTTCGTGATCAAAGCCACAGATAAAACATTTAGAAAACTTTCGACTCAAGTGCTTACGTAAAAAGTTAACTAAATGAAGCACACAAACGTCGGAAAAGACACCCGAGTATAATGACGCGAAATTGCATCGCAGTGATATTCACATAGTTGTGTAGATTAGAAGCGATAATAACAACTACTATAATTTCACTTTCATTTTATATCGTAATATTACTCACGCCATTGACCTTAGCAAATCTCTAATTGGCAATTTTCTTTTTCCAGACATTACCTTCGCAAATTTGATTACGCGTCGACGAATTGTCGTTCGATTCGTTTGATTTGAAACATGGCGTGAAATCTTTGCAATGTTTTGAATGCAAGTGAAATTATTTAAATACGATGGGTCCGTGGGATAGTGATAAGGAAGGCGAAGACGCCAAAATGACATCGGCACCGGCCGCGTCCTGCATGAGCACGGAGCATGGCTGCGTCATGTTCGATTGCTTGTTGCATCTGTGGGACTGGTAAGAAAGTTTCTTCTATACTATTTTAAGTTTGGTAGATCTCCTTACTGTGCATTATATCATTTTGATTTTAAGTACAACAGATTATTGCGACTTCGAAAAGTCTTTCTTTTGAAAGTTTTAAAAAATTCTGTTGCAGTTATCCCCGAGGTATAAAGACTACTTTTGTTTGTATATTTTCGTGTTTATAATAATATACTAGTTGTCGTCGAAATTCAACTTTAATTTGAAGTTTGTATATTAAGCAAGTTGTATTTCACTATCAACTGTATATACATTAAAATACAGACATTTCATATACAAATATAAAATAAATGCTTTTTGCATTGACATATACTCCACAGGCAATTCAATAAGGGATATTTAAAATCACAAAAAATTAAATATAAATATTTTTGGCAACATTTTCAACTTCTCTGGCGACAATCTCTATTCTGTGCTACTGTTTTAGCACAGACTATTTTGTGTTTGACATTGGCGGTGTGAAAGTAAACAAGAATATTTTATTTAGCTTAATTTAGTATATTTGTAGAACATTATTATATAAAAACTTTAGCTTTCTGCACTCCTTCTGAATTTAAACTTTACTATGCCAAATCTTACACTCATACTTGCGCTCAATATCGTTAGAAAGGACTACAAATTTTTACATTCTCGTATCAATCTATATATAGATTTAAGCCATATATAAAGCCATATTTATAAACTTACAACGGAAATATTATGCAACGGATGATGTACTATATTTCATTGTGAATGGATGACAACACAGGCGCTCCAAGTCTATCGATTATACAATAACACATTTGTTGATACAAGTGTCATGTGCTTGTGATCTACTGCGATAAAGTCACTACAGCATTTTAATTGTACGGATATCGACCAGTAGTCGTTTAATAGCGTACATATAAAAGGGTTCAATAAAAACTATGTCTCCGAACATGACTACAACTGATATGCTCTTCGAGTGTCATCTCAGTCAAGACAATTCTTCAATTGCTTGTATTGAGTATTCCTAAAAACTTTCACCCTAAATTCAATAAACACTAGAATGTTTATAATAAGAAGTGTTCAGACATCTTAACGGCATACTAACCATCACCACCAGCGCATCAGGTAGCCATAAAATATCCATACATGCTATAAAAGTCCACTGCTGAACATAGAGACCTCGCCCATAGACTGTTCGTAGGGGATTTCACCATAGTTATGATGCTTAACTTAGAATGACAACCGCAGCTTTATTATTATTTTAAGTTTGTTATTAAAAAGATACAGCTGTCAATACCTGATTCAATTTCTTTTTGTCGCTTCTTACGACACCCACGGGATAATAAATGGTAGTGGACGGCGGCCTTACTACGCCACAACCCGTGCACAGATGACATGCTCAACAATAAGCATGCATAATATTAGCACTTTGTAAATCATTCTAGTAGTTAACATTTGTTTGCTAATAGTACCTACTTTAGCGTTTCCGAGACCGTTTCCTGCGACTCACGTAAAAATTATTTAAAAGTTACTAATGGTTTAATGCTATTATTGATACACCACCGGATTATGAAGTCAATAGATGATAGAATATTAAAGAAATCTGTCAATCTAAAAATTATCATTAAATTATAATTAAGAAATTTTTTCACAATAATTGTAGTAGCTGAAATATTGCGTGATTATGATCGAATTCAATAAGTAGTCAGACCTTAACCATTAAGTTAAATATTAATTTTGTTTATTGAAAACTAGCCCTGTGATAGTGGTTTAAGAGAACCCATCATCTTCTATTCATCTAAGTAATATCTCCAGTAAGTGGCGTAACAGTCTATTATGGAAAACGTAATAATCGTATCAGAATATCCATATCGAATTTCGGTCACGTTGGCGAGGCTCAATGAAGACTAGCTACCTGCGTCAGGATTATAGCGGGTTCTATAAAACTCTCTATTTCCTCACTCTTATATTTCGATGGGACGGTTATGCAACACGACCAGAAAGAGATCAGGCGCAGGACCAACAGGATTTACGTGCTTTTCAAGGCACGGGTTAAAACACCGCAAACTTCTGTTATTCAGAAATTTTTGACAGAAAACCCCAATAACAATAAAAAAATATAGGAATTCGAACTTGAGCCCTCATGATTAGTAATCACGTTTACGAACACTAGACCAACGAGGCACATCTTCAATATGTGATCTTCAATATGTGTCCGTACAAGAATACTACGTATATTTTAAGTGACGCCGAAAGCATGTTCAACTTTTTGACACGCACTCACGCATACAAGTTTATGCTTTCTTTCTTCGCCAGCCAGTAAAAGCTTACTGGTTTACGCACACATATCCATTTAAAACCATGTTTTTGGTGGCAAATGATTCTAGATGCATCTGCGTGCCTAAGGCGGTTTCTATTGGTTTCGGTGTCACTTGAAATGTAAGTAACGTCTATCTTGCTTTGTTGGTATGAGTGGCAGACGTAAAATACCTATTATGGAGGGTAAAAGGTTAAAAAAAAACAGAAAAGCTTCGATCGTCGATCCGCCAGACAAGCGTGGCGATTATAATCGCCACGCTTGAAATTTTATCGATAATCTTCCTCTTCATTATTTAATTTTATTTTTAATTTATTTATTAATCATTCAGGTAATTATACACTCGTTTTGTTAATACACTTAAAACTAGGGGTTAGTGAATTAACAGAAATTATTATTTATTGTTCTTTTTTTGAAGCAGGTGGCACAGGACCGTGCTGTGTGGCATTCCTTGGGATTGGCCAATGTTCAGCAGTGGACTTGTGAAGAGCGATGATGATGATGATTACTTATTGTTAAACATACTGGGCACGGAACCCATATGCACTGTTCCAGTGCCTCCTCATAGGACAATCTTGCCTTCCATATATATGGAAGCTAGGAGGCCGTTGGTGCTGTCTCACACGCGACGCATCAGGGAGGCTATTTTTTGCGTAATATTATTGCAAAGCTGTCCACGCGTGCCTCAGCAAACATCCGTGATGCGCTGCAAAAACGTGGCAGTCCCAAAGATATCCTAAATGCATTATTGTACTGAATACGTATCGCATTGAGAGTTCGGCGAGTACACTTCGTCCACAGGCTGTAAGAGTAGAATGTCTGATAGTAAGCTTTGAATAATGTTATATTAACTTCATTCGTACACCTAGCAAACCTGCAGGTTAGCGTTTTACACCTCGTTGCCAACGCTCTACGTTCCCGTTCAACATTTAAATCGTCAGAGAGATCCTCGGTGACCCAGTGTCCTAGATATCTGAATTTGGTGACTCTACTCAGTGTAACTCCTTCCAGTTTAACATGAGGAACAGACTTAGGTGTTTTTATGTATTTCCAGCCTTAAAAATGAGTAGTTCACTCTTTTGAGAATTATATCTAGGACCATTAGTCACCGTGTACCTTTCACAGATGTCCTCACGAGGGCCCTGATCGATGGGCTCAGCAAAACCATGTCGTCAGCATAGCTTACATTATTAACAAAATGACCGTCAATTGAGCAGACGACTCCGGCATCACTGAGCTCATTGATGTACAGGTTGAAGACTTGAGGGGAGCTAAGGATACCCTGCCTCACACCGCACTCCAACCTGTACTCCGACGAATATGAGCAAGCCCACTTCACACAGTTGGTATGGTTGTGATACCAATATTTGAAAAGGTTAATCACCTCCTCGGGTCTGCTAGTTTCCTGATTAAGCTTATCCAATAAAACATTGTACGAAACCCGGTCAAATGCCTTCGATAGGTTCAAAAAACACGTATAAACCGGCGTTTTTCGCTTAGTGTGATACTGGACAGTATGCTTGAGTCGCAGTATGACTGTTTCAGTTGAAAGCCCCGGCCTGAAACCAAACTGAGCCTCATGTAGGTGAATGTGTTGGCCGAGTTGCTGGTCAAGCAAAGCGTCCAGCACCTTTGCGACTATAGTAGCCAAAGATATTGGGCGATAATTAGACCCAACGGAGGCATCACTAGTCTTATTTTTTATTATTGGTACAACCACGTTTTTCAAAAGCTCCCCAGGTAAGTACGCATGTCCTAGACATAGGTTAAAAAATAAAATTTAATACCATCGGCAAATGCACACCAATATGCTGAAAGTGCTCAATGCTGAAGTCATCGTGACCTTACTAGTCATCCCACTTATTACACAAGCTATATCCTCAGTTTTAACACCGTGATATTCTCTATTTAATTCTTGTTCAGCACTGAGCAAGTTTTTAAGAGGCCCATGTCTAGTTATGGACAGTTATAGATGCGATTCAAGAAAAAATTACGTATATATTTGTCACACCTGTAAACCCCGAGAGGATAGGTAGAGTCCAAAAAGCTGCAAGCCATTCGAACAACGTTTAGCCAATTATATATAGGCACAGATGGAAAATTGTGAAAGAACTGAAAACCATTACAACTATAAGATACAAACAACTAAATACTACATAAATACAACTATAACGTTAAATCTTCTATATCATAACAAGTTAAAGCTTAATTTCTTTATTTAATATGGGTGCCACTTTGTGCTTTGTGACCTATTTATTACACGATATGAAAAGAGTAGTTTTATACACGTTACAAAGGAAATGTTAAAATTTAATTCCCTTTGCAAAGAATTTTTTTTTCGCGGGTAGGAGTTGATAAAGTTAGACATATTTTAAAAATCTTTAATTTGTATAATATTATATCTAGGGACTTTTGAATATAAATTTAATGTTCCTGTGATATATAAACTCCTGCCAGTCAAGTCTGAAATA